ATGTTTAGGTCCTAACCCCCAGTACCTGGGAATGTGAATGTCTTTGGAGATAAGGTCTTTAAAAAAATGGTTAAGTTAAAATGAGGTGAGCCTTAATCCAATATTACTGGTGTCATAAGAAGAAGAAATTTAGACACAAGAAAGACACCAGGAGAAGGACCATGTTAGGTAAGAGCAAGAAGCAAACACAGAAAAAAGACCATGTTAAGACACAACAAGAAGCCAGCTATCTGCAAGCCAGAGACATCTTAGAATGAAACCAACCCTTGAACTTAAGCTTCTAGACGCCAAACTGTGAGAATATAAATTTCTGTTACTTAAGCCACCTAGTCTGTGGCATTTTGTTATAGCAATCCTAATGATACAATACTTAAATATTTGTTTTGGTATTAGACCAAATAAAGATTAAGTTCCTACTGAAGTCTGATTCTGATCCTGTATTCTGAAACAGAGTTACACAATATCAAAGCTAAAAACTTCTTAGAGATCATTTAGTTGAGCAGTTTTTCGTTCTGGGGGTGTAGTAGTTTTTCATTTTCTGAGGATAACTAAATTCCTTTGCAACATTTATGCAAGCCAGAGTCCCTTCTTCAGAGTCCCTTCCTCAGAACATGAGAACATATACATAACTTTTGCATAAATTTTATTTTATTTTATTCGAACTGGTTTTACTCACATAAGCAGAATTTTTTAAATTTATGAATAATTAATTCTTTCTCCATCTAATTTTTCAGGAAAAAATTAAGTCACTTTCTCAAATAAAAGACAAATGAATTGCATCATGGAAATAAAAAGAACACTAATCTAATCTGGCTCAACAGCAAATTTCAGTAAGAAACCTGATTTAAAAGTTTTAGTTCATTTTAACACAGCAATATCTTGGACATTCAACAGATTTATGACTTTGTTGTAGTTTGGGAGCAGGAGGAAGTGAAGAAAACCTAGCTCGCTATATGAGACGGCACTGCCATATTATCCAGAATTAGAATAACCATTATTCTCTCTGCCAGTTAAGGATAGGATTGTGTGAAGAAACAAAACACTCTCTAAGACCCTTTGAAGAAATTCTAATCACATCATTTCCTCCAGTCAATAAGGTCACTTTTGGCAAGTACTGCATCACTGATCCTTTCTATTTCAGCGAGAAAATAAAATAAATCCATATTTTGATGTTAAGGTCATCCGAAGCAGGAGTAACTTTCAAAGAAGTTTTTCAGTACTTTGATATATTCAAAGATTTCTTCCAATGGATAAAATGACAAGAATGTCAGTCTCAACTCCAGGCTCTATAAGCACTATGCCTGGAATTAGAAAGTTTGTAAACTATATTTGTCAACTCTGTCTACCTCTCGCAGTATGAAAACCTGGCCAACACCATTCTTCTTTTCAACGTCATTCACAGGCAACGTAACAGCCTTAAATCAGAAGATCTGCCTTTTTTTATTGGTCCAAATCATCTACCAGTGACCAATCCACAAATACATTTTTCCCTGTCAACTTTTTTTGTGACTTGGGCTTTCTTGTTCTCTCAAAATAAATAAAACTTCTATTTAAAGTTAAGTCAAACACTTAAAAAGGCAGCAAACCTTTTTGTACTCAAAAACTTTATGCTTGAATTTGTGACAGAATTTCTTGAAAAGACAATGATTTAAAAATCTGGCTTTGGAAAAAAATAAATAAATAATCTGACTTTGAAGAAACCGGTGTCATTCAGAACAATAAACAAAATTCTTTTCAAGACTGCTGACCAGGACTTTGATACAAATGTACCCTCATGTCAAAAGCAATGAAAAGTCAAAATGATGTGACTTCTTCCAAGTAGGAAATCTAGATGGTAGCCAAGACTGTTGATGCCTCACTGAGGTACAATAAGCTAAGATGTTTTTTGCCCCTAGCCAAAGGCTTTCTCGCTGAAGAAAATTCTCACCATTTTGAAAGTATCTATGGCCATTGACATTTATAAAAGTAACTCAAAAATTAGAACATTCTTTTTGATAGTTTTAGTGTGTACATAAATCAAAAAACCAGGTTTGGTTGCACAGAAAAATAATAGTAGTGTCATCTAGTTTTATACTGAAAGGAAAATGACACAGTTGTAAATTCCTTCTACTTCAGGGTATTAAAAATGTCAGCAAGTATGATGTGTATGATGTGATTTGTTAAAGACCCTGTTTCCATTTTCTTCTGTGGCTTCAACCACAAACGCACTGAAAAATTTCAAGAAGACCAGGTGTCTCCAACTTTATGTGGCTTCTTGTTCTTAGCAATGTCATAAGTAAAATCTTACCTACAGAAAACTATGTAAAGCCAAAAACCTCTTGCTGGTGTCAAAGAATCATCAGAAAAGAGACAGCACTGTGTTCATTGAAAAGCTCTTCTCAACCCCCAGGTAGTATTGGCCATTTTTCTCTCTCTGGCTCAGACTCCTGAAGTGATCAGTGATAATGGTATGACAGTGTTGCTTATGCCTATCCAAGGCATTTTGCCATTGCCCACACTATATATGATGTCTACCATTATGTGTCAAGGTGTTTCCTTCTAATCTCAAGAAAATGATATCTGCACCAATTGGGTTTTTCTCATTGCAGAAGCTATTAGCATGGCCAGCAAGCCTCAAAAGTAATCCAAGGCAGGCCCATGCTCTCTGCTCAGGGGAATAAATCCTTACAACCTTGCTCTAAGTTACACATGTGCTCTCAATACTGTCCAGAAACTAACTGTACTCATTATTTACTTTACTCTCATAACTCCTGTTGAGGTATAATCCTGCACAGAGATACAGGAACCCTATGTTCTTCTGGATGTATTGTCAGGGCATTACATTTTCCCTAAAAATGACAAATTAGAGTTCTTTTATCTTGCTCTACATATTAAACTTTGCTTTAGGTTGTGAATTGCTAAATCAGACTTTGAAAAAAAATTGTAACAGCATTTTTTAGCTAGTTGAGCTGAAACTGAATAGCTAGTTGAATAGCTAGAAGGTAGAAGCTACACTAATAGACTCCCTGTGCTCTTAGGTACTGGTATTCATTTATATGCATTAACAAGCATAGAATATTTTTTTTTTATTTTGTGATTGGAAAAGGATGCAGAAACTTTGACTGGAGTCAGGGTGTTAGAACAGAGGAGGACAGGGAGGGGATGACATGGAATTTACCCCCAATCTACTCTCTGGGATTACCTTGGAACTTCTAAGGACAGAGAGATTGAGGTAGAATCTGACAATACCTTTAGGTGCTGGGCACAAGTAAAACTGCTTTGGACCCAGGTATCAGAGTGGAGCACAGAGTAGGGAAAGAAACCAGTTCCCATATGTATTAGCCAAGGTTCTCCAGAAAAAAAGAGAAATAGAGAATATTAAAAATATATATACTTAAATATGTTTATATCATTAAATATATGTAAATATATGTATTTAACTATATATAAAATAAAATAAAATTTTATATACCTACATATATATATACATATATATGATGAAATTTATTTTTTTTAAAGATTTTATTTATTTATTCATGAGAGACAGAGGAGGAGAGAGAGAGAGAGAGAGAGAAGCAGAGCGAGAAGCAGGCTCCCAAGGAGCAGGGAGCCCAATGTGGGACTCGATCCCAGGACCCTGGGATCATGACCTGAGCCGAAGGCAGACGCTTAACCATCTGAGCCACCCAGGCGCCCATATGATGAAATTTATTATAAGGAATTGATTCATAGGGTTACAGAGGCAGAGAAGTCCCATTCTACCATCTGACTGGCAAGCCAGGAAAACTGGTGGTGTAGTTCAAAGGCCCAGAGCCAGGGAGCCAATGGTGTAGATTCCAGTCTGAGTCTGAAGGCCTGAAAATCAAAAGCACCAAGCACAGGAAAAGAGCAATGTTCTGGCTCAAATAGTCAGATACTCAAGTAGTAAATTCAACCTTCCTCTGCCATTTTTTTCTATCCACACCTTCAGTGAATTTGATGATATCCACTCACATTAGGGAAGGCAATCTGCTTTATTCTAAGTCCACCAATTCAAATGGTAATATCTTCTAGAAACACCCTCACAGATATACACAGAAATAATGTTTAACAAGATATCTGAGCATCTCATGGCCGGGTCAGGTTGGCACATAAAATTAACCATCACACCATACTTCACATGGAACTGAATTGCTCAGGTGTCTTGAGGATTAGAAGTTTGGAATCAACTGAAACAGTAACTTTGGCTTTATACCTGTGCCCTGGTGCTCTTATGCTGGATATTGGTAACAATGAAATCTCTGCAAGTAGCTCTGTAGAAAACAGAACTGAAAAGTGAGAACTGAAGTAGAAGAAGCAGAGAATAAGGACACTGTGTCATGATAAATTCTTCTGATAGCAATTTAGGGCCCATGAGATACTGCTCCTAAAGGAAACTCAGAAATAAATGGGAGACATTTTGAGGTTGCTATTAGCAAGCAGTCAATACAATGGGGATGCATCCCATTACACTTTGGGTATAAAAAGAAAAGTGCTATCTTTCCTTATAGTCACATGCTGTTTGGTCTGGACTATTAGGATTATGTATATAGTACCATACATCTTGATTTAGCATAAAGGAAGACAGGACTCAGAGAATCCTGGGCATAAACTGAGGTGATTTAGAGAACAAGTAGGATAGTGTAGCCATACCCTTTATTCAAAAACAACTTTTTTTAGATGAAGGCAAAAAATGATAATGTAAATGTATCATGAACCAGTGATAATGAGCAACACAATTTATTGCCCCTGAAGTTAAAATAAAGAAAAATAATCAGAAGATGACTTGAAGCCCACCAGGGTAACTAGGGTGTCATTGTTTACTTACAAATTATAGAGTTATCCCTTCACAAACATAAGTATTGCCTTCATGATAGGTATGAATTACATAGAGTATACCGAATAAAAATTATAATTATTTTAAGAAGTCATGATATAAATTTTGGATTTAAAATGAAAATAATATACATGTTCCGAAGTATTGAAACTAAAAATTTTAGTACCATTTATTGATCCTATTTTCTTCTTTTGCTTATCTTCTTTCTTCTATCTTTTCTTCTATCTTCTGTCTTCTACATATTATCACCAAAATGTGTTGCTTCCCCAGAAATTTTTCAGTTACTTTGCCCCTTAAACAGTATTAGTGGCAGTCTTCATATGATTTTTTGAACAGTACCCTAGGGTTTCAGGACATAAAGAGATGAAGAAGTCAACAAGGAAAGACTTGATACCCAATTTCTATCTGCTAAGTTCCAGTAAAGGCAAATCATTCCTCAGTGATTCTAATCAAATTACACTGCTCCCCACATCCTACAAAGTCCCTGCCCACATACATACACACACCACCACAGCCATCATCATTGCCTCCACATTGTCAAGTGGCACAAGATTTTTTGTAAAGCAGAAAGCTGCACAAATGCTCAGAAAAGGCACAATAGGGCCCATGTAACTCATAGGTCACTTCAGGAGATTATTCTGGATAAGTCCCAATAACCTAAAATGGCCCTTGGAGCAGCAGCAAGTAGTTTTCAAGAGCTGGTACTTCCTGCCAGTGACTTGAGTCAAGTTTTGGAACACCTCCCAAGGGCTTAGAAACCTCTAAGAAAAACCTCCCTGGTATTTGCCAGCTTTGTTTACAGTACATGGATAAGCGCCTGGGTATCAATCTACTATGGATTTGAATACATGTGCATTTCTCATATTGTTGGTCATTAAATGTGCCTTCATTTTGATTGCAAGTTTATTGGCTTCCAAGTTCTAGACCTGAATAAATTATTGGATTTAGTAACCCATTATTTAGAACAAATATTTATATCTGTGTTTATTTGTCAGGTTCTCACACCTACACAACACTGACATATTTCCAAGACCTAAATATTAAAATTCATGCTCACCCAGAACAAAGGTGCACAGCTATTTTATAACACGATGGCATGGGGGGAAGAAAACATGAGAGCTGGAATAATTTATCCCATTGCATTGCATCAGAGCTAACATTATCCAAACAGTTGTGGTTTCATATTGTTTCAATAATAGTTTTTTTCATTAGAAAACAATTAACTGTACAAAAAGCTACAAGACCTGCCATATGTCTTTCACCTAGAAGCTCCATTCAAGTTTCATCAACTGTGTGATAGGATCTTAAATCTCCATCAGTCCAGGATGGCTGATGTGGGCCACTTCCAAATCAGTCACCTTCCTCATGAGGGTTCCAACCCCCGTTGTGTCACACCCTTCAATCACCTTCTTCCTCTGGACAGGTATTTCACACAAGGCCACTTCTTTGTTCAAGCCCTGACCCCTCCTCCCATAGCTACTTTCCTCACTCATGAGTTTGGACTGAATCATTTGCATTATACTACCTTTCTTTAAAGGTCCTGGTCCAGATCCTGTCCTGATCTGGCTGGCATTTAAACTACTCGCAGGTCTTCTTGACCATAAAGGGTTTGTTCTTTGTTTGTTAAAGAGGGTCTGTTTGGGCTTTATCCTTAGTCCTGGAATGTGGTCCTTACTTTATTATCTAGTGGTTATTCCTAAAATATGGCCTTTCTGGAGTATCAGCTAAATGGATGAGGTGTTTCCCAAGGTCCCTCTCCACTCTACCTGGTTGTGTAGACAACAATCCCTGGCACTGCTGTGACCTCTGGTATCTCCCTTCACCTATCAGTCCTGCAGCAGATGTTCTCAGCTAGGCAACATAGTCCTGCCCTGCACAGGGGCAGCAATATCCTCATAGAGACCCTCATGCTGACTTCTGGAGCTCCCCTCCATAGAGCCCTTCCTCTAACAAACTCCAGCCACTTGAGCAGTCTCAACTCTGATGTCTACCTGACACGGGCTCTGCTCAGGATCCATCTCCGCTCCTTAATAGTGAAAGTGCTTCAGGTAGAAAGACACAGTGAACCTGGAGTGCACCTTGCAGGTTTCCCTTTTTTCAAAGATTGGTACTGCCTGTAGTCTAATCCCCAAAAATGGTGCATCATGGATTTCATCCAGTGTTGTAGCTATTTACAGCAGGAGAGTAATCTTGCCACTAGTTATTTGGCTAGAAGAGGAATCAAGTCTGTTTTTAAAGGTAAAATTAATGAGTGAAAATACAGTCAGGTACACTGATCATAAATTAAATTCAAGGGTACAAATTTAGAATTTTTAAAGGGTCTTAGCAAAAGGGATGAGAAAATGCTTTTTAAAATATTAAGTGAATTTGAATGACTACAGCAAAACTTTATTTAGTATAGCTATACAGTTATGATTCTTCATAGTACTGATCAGCCAGTATGGCAGAATTTACTCTCATGCAAATAAATGCTTACCCCTTTACTGCACTTTCTAATCTCTTTTGTTTACTTCACAAAGGTCTTTTTTAGTGCTATTACATTCTATTATCTGAAGATGCATTGATTATTTTGCAAAGAATAAGCAATCATAAGTTACAGCATAGGTTGTATTAAAATGCCATTTTGGGGCACCTGGGTGTCTCAGTCAGTTAAGCATCCAACTCTTTTTTCTTAAGAGAGAGAGAGAGAGAGTGCAAGGGGGAGGGTGGGAAATGCAGAGGCAGAGGAATAGAGAGAATCTCAAGCAGGCTCCTCTATGCTAAGTGCAGAGCCTGTTGTGGGGCTCCATCTCACCACCCAGAGATCATGACTTGAGCTGAAATTGAGTCAAACGCTTTACCGACTGAACCACCCAGGAGCCCCAAGTGCCTGACTCTTGATTTTGGCTCAGATCATGATCTCAGTCAGGGTCATGAGATTGAGCCCCATCTCAGGCTCCACACTGAGTGAGGAGCCTGCTTGAGATTCTCTCTCCCTCTGCCCCTCCCATCCACACACACACACACACTCTCTAGAAATAAATAAAAATAATAAAATAAAATAAAATAAAATAAAATAAAATAAAATAAAATAAAATAAAAAATGCCAGTTTGACTATAAACCTATCAAGTGTGTTCTCCCATTGAGGTACGTAATACATTAGTGCTAGCAAAATCCACCAATAGAACAATTCCAAAAAATACTAGCAAAATCCACCAATAGAACAATTCTAAAAAATATAGAAACATAAAGTCATCAACCAATACACCAGTAATTGCATCTTGATTAATCTGAATAAATGATATTGTGGATGCAATTCCATATAGACCATACCAAGTTAACTGTGACAGCATGGATTCATTTAGTGCTGCCATTTCCTGAAATGCATTCACACTTCTAAGTTTGGTATAACTGGCTTATTATCAATGTATTTCTTACTCTTAAATATCATCATTAAAGTCTGTTAGGCTTTTCAAGTGTACCTAAAAAAGGTAGGACAACTCATGGAAACTGGTAAAAATATTAAATTGTCATATACCTTATATTCATGCATAATTAGCTGGTTTTTAAACATCAATTTAATCATATAGAAATGGATGTACTTGAGGCCTACCACTAGAAGAGAATGCCAAGGACTGGAAGAGTGATGACTGGATGATTGCCCTAATTTGGCGAGTGGTGAGACATGTATGTCCTCTAACATACATACCCCCTATGATTTTTCTCAATGTAAGAAGAACTGTCCATCTACAGCTCTGATTTTCCACACACTACAGAGAACAGAATGCATTATGGCAGGAAATTCACTTTTTTCTTGTAGCCAAATAGGATTCTCAACTAATACCAAGTTTTCATAAGATAAAAGGGATCAAAACCACTGTTTTTTCAAGAGAGACAGATATTAGTGAAAACTAAGAGTTTTCACTGAAACCTAGTTTGGCACAGAAGTCTTTGTCACTCAACAGTATAGAATGCAAGCAACATGCAAAGTAGTCTGCTCAGAGACTATGGAGGATAACTCAGGAATCATAGTCAGCAGGATTCAATGAAAATCTGACTAGGATGACTTACCAAAATACGGGATGATTTTTCTCATGTAATTAAGGTACATAAAAAGGTAATCCAGGATTGATTTAGCTGCTCAAGAAAATGTTCATGATCTGTAATAATGATGTTTTTAAAAGAATTCCCACCTTCTACCATGAGAAAAGTGTGTTAGTTTTTTGTTTTTGTTTTTGTTTTTTTACGTTAAGGGATGTGTTTGCCATTCTCTAATGAATTTAGAGTAGTATTTAAAAACACATGGAATAAAGCTATTTATAAGAGTTGTACATGAAGAATACTTTGAGAAGTGTGTTATTTCAGGGAATTGATATTATAGTTCTTCTGTAAATGCATTTAGGGAAGTGTTTAAAAACACACATAATAAAAATGTTCTTAAAAGTGGTAACTGCTTACTACAAGAAAAAAGTGCTTTTTTAAGTTAAGGGGTATGTCTGCCACTCTGTAATGCATTTTGAGAGGTGTTTTAAAGCACAGTGCAGATATTTTTTAACCGTTCATGGTTCTAGGGTCTTTTCTCAAATCAAAGTGTGGCTATTCCACCACCAAGTGTATGTGTGTTCTAGGGAAAAAGAAAAATGGAATAATAAAGGGCAAAAGACAAAAAGAGTCAAAGAAGAAGGAGTCCTAACCCTTTTAAAATAAAGCACTTCCTCAGAAGCCTCTTCTCCCATACATAGCAACTTCTGAATGTATCTCTTTGGTCAGAATTATGTCATATTATCCCAATTGAAAAGATAAGTATTTAATTTTATTGATTCTGTCATTAAACAATGGGAGAATAGTTAGCGGATAGGCAACTAGCAATGTCCATCCTAGCTCTTTTGAACATCACTTGTGTTATATTGGCTGTGTGTGATTTAACCTTATTTATCTCTGCAAGATCAGTTGAAATCTTAAATTTTATTGACTCCCTAACTATTCCAGGATCCAAACTGGTTATTTTGTGTCTTTACTTGGATATTAGCAAATAAAGACAAATTAAAAGCTATACATGATACAAAACTTTATATTTAAATTGGTCTGGCAATTATTTTTTTTATTTTTTTAAAGATTTTATTTATTTGTCAGAGAGAGAGAGTGCACAAGCAGGGGGAGCAGCAGGCAAAGGGAGCAACAGGCTCCCTGCTGAGCAAGGAGACCAATTCAGGACAC